AACTTTTTCACATGTATCAACGTTTTAGTAACTTTAAACGTTTTAGTAACATAAAAAACGAGCGAGTGTTAAAACGTTGTGCGTTCTTATTTTCCGTCACCAGGGGGCGAGTACACAAAATGAGCAGGGAAGGGAAATTAAATCTTTGAATTAAATGAAACCAAGTTTTGCCAAGTATTACTGACTTTTAACAGACAAATTAATGTTTATTTATTAAAAATAAAATAATGGTAAATAATGATAACACTAATTGAAAAACAGGTAATGTTTTAACCCTTAATTTTGCTACCGTTTAAAATCAGTATGGAGAAAAGCAGCTAAGTTCGCTAATGCAATTAATAATAATAATAATGTATATAATGAAAGCAAACAGAGAAAACTATGTTTACTTTAAAAACACATTTTAAACACAACATGCAACAGTATCGACTTTAAACATCAAATCCAGGCTTTACTGTCTGTTAACCTCCTGCAGTTTTACAGATTTGAATACCATTATTTATTAAAAAGAGATTTTAAGTAAACTGACTGCCAGGTTGATATAGTTTCCCTTTGATTTATTTGCTGTATAACTATTTAAAATAGTTCATTTTGGTTTAGCTTAGAAATAATATACAGTCAGCCTTTGTGATGTGTTTCACACTTTATTTATAGAAAAGCACTGAGATTCCAACACAAATCAATATAAAACGGTGATAGTGTTACATAAATAGTAATAAATTTTTGTTTTATAGACAGTAGCTCAAGAAATCACACAAAGAAATTACAAAAAAAAAAAAAATCAGAAACAAATGTCGATAAGATGTCATACTTCTGTGGCAACAAATACTGGAAATACCTTTTCAACATCAGTAGCACAAAGGAGGCAACAAATGCTTTCCATTTTCCCTCAAGTTACAAAAACCCAAACAGAACCAAGTGGGAAACAGTAAGACTAGAACTCTACTAGAAGATATTACTGTCTGAGCGAAGGAAAGGAAGAAGAAAGAAGACATGGGTTAGGGAATGACTTGTAGACACAGAACAGTGAAGGAGGAGCAGCTCATCTTGCTCCTCAGTCAGACGGGATTTAGTCAAATATTTTTCTTGTTCCAATTATCTGGATAAACAGTAATGTTGAAAAGCCTGCACCTACATTTGGACTCTAAAAGCTGCTCTAATGCTGACAGCCCTCACATCTGCTCCAAATGTACAAAGGACAAGGGGAGAAGACAGACACAGTGAGACGACGTGACCACGGGCCGTTTTCAGGTCTCAAGGAGTCAGGATTTCGCCAATGAGCAAAATGAAGTTACACAAAAAATAAAAAGTCTGTTCACAGATGATCTGTGTTGTTCACACCATTCTGTTTCTGTCTCTGACACTGGAGTGTTGTTCAGTCTCCACGAACTGCTACCACACAACACAACACCTCTGAGAAGACACTGAAGGCTTGAGTCCTGATTCAAACACACCCAAAAAAATAAACTTTGTACATTAATCAGTCAGAAAGGCATCCCCCCGCCCCCCACACACACACCTAAAAGTTTGCAGTGACTGTTTAATGGGTTCCAAACATGATCCGTCAGAATGTTTTAAAGAAAGTTCTGTTGTTCAGAGGACAGGAACATCCCAGTGGTTGTGCATAGTCTAAGTACATACAAACAAATACTTTACCCACGATCCTCCAGTCGGAATGACACGCCTCTTTTTGGAAAAACCTTTTTCTTTTTAATTTCTTAGGAAATTATTTTAAAAATAAACACACACTCACACAAATCAAACGATAATCAGAGTAAAAACAAAGTGAGTAAATGAAATGTTCAGAGGAGCACCTTAAAAATGAAGTCGTCAAATTCCCTGTCCAAAATAATTCAAGTACACCCTTTTAAGATAACAAAAAACAAATAAGTAAAAAAAAAAAACACATAACATAGGTATCATAAATAATTATAACTTTACAATTTTCTGAATTGACACTTTCATATTTACAATATCTTAAATGCTTACTGCTACTATTTTTTTTGTTTTGTTTCTCTAAGTGATGTCCCTGAGAAGTGAGGTTAGCCCCTCTCTCTCTCTCTCTCTCTCTCTGTCTGTCTGTCTCTCTGTCTTATTTCTGCTGCTCAAACGACCTCCTGACCTTTCTCTAACTCGACACACGTCTTCGGATCAAAATCAGAACACAGAGCTGTGGCTGAAGGCCGGTGTAGTGGGTCTGTGGAATGTTACAGTAGACTGAACTAACTAACTAACCAGCTAACTAACTAACTAACTAACTTAACAAACACACACTTCTCCATTCAGAATCAGGATTGTCTCTTCCTCCTGTCCTCCGTTGACTGCTGCTCTGCTGTGTGTATGGAAATTCTTTTTTTTTCTTTTCTTTTTTTTCTTCTTCAAAACAACTAATAAAATCTGAGGTGAACAGGAACGTTGTAAAGAGGTATTGAGGTGAAGTGCCTGTACATCCACCGGTAAATATTCAAGCTCTCGTCAAACAATTCCCCGTCACTGGGTGACAAATGGAGGTGTTGACAAACATCATCTCCACATTCACAGTCTGGAACAATGTCAACCAGTGGCTGCAGTGACTACAGGCCCGTGTTAGAAGAGTCGCTCGGCCAGAGGGAAGTTAAAGTCTTTAGAACTTTACTTTAGGAAAGTGTGTCAACGATGGAGGAAGTGCAAAAAAAAACAAACAAACAAAAAAAAAAAACTACGGTGGTCAGGAGTTAATGTTGAAACAAGTCTTTCATTCACTCATCGTCTTCTATCTAATTCCTACCAGGGACCTGGTTGGGGGGGGGGGGGGGGGTCCACAGGGCCACATACAGAGACCATTCACACTCACATTCACACCCGTGGTCTATTTAGTGTGAACGATTTACCTACTCATAAATCCAATTTTTTTTTCTTGCAAAAATCACAGTTAAACTTCCACTGTTGCTGAAACAAGGTCACGACTCGTCCCAATGTTTTTTTTTTTCAAAGATGATGTTGTTGAATCAGAACCAACATGAAGCAGACTTCAACTGTAAAAATGAAGTTAGCTCACGTGATACAAGAGTAGGTGAAAAAAGTTCTTTTAAAACATGTCCATCGATTTCTTTTAAATATTACAAGTGTTGACTTGTAAAATTGTTAACAAAATTAGTTTAGTTCATGTTAATAAATAAAGAGTTTTTTTAAATGAACTTTTTGACTCTGCATCACTGAGACTCTCCGGGTTTAATCACAAACAGACAGCAGTAAATGGGAGAAACAACCTCACAGGTGTGTTTGTGTGTGTGTGTGAGAAGTTATGTTGCGAGTGGTCAGACCTCACAGGTAATACAGCTGAGGTATGGGGGCAACACTGGGTGTGTTTCCACCTCAGTGGTTTCTCTCTGTTTGGAATGTTAAAAAAAAACAAAACAATAAAAAACAATGAAGCCAAACCAACAAAACCATTTGGTTTCCTGTGCCAAAGCACGACACCAGAACTTCTTCTCTTTTCTTTTCTCTTCACAACCTTTTGATCTTTTTATATTATATATTTATATATATTTATAAAACATTAATTATTGAGGGAATTGCCTTTTGTTTTTTTTCTTAACGTTTCTTTACGCGTCACGTTCCTCTTCTGTGGTCATGATAGTGGAGAAAAACAAACTGCAAACACTCGCCGGTTCACATTCAAGAAACAAAACCAAACTGGAATAAAAACATAACTTAGTCATTGAATGGCTCGACACAGGAAAACAAAATACACATAATCTAAACAAAATAAAAACATCCCACTGACTGAGTCTTGGTGAAGGTCAGCCGAAGCGCTCCCTGACCAACATCATCAGTTTCTTCTTGCCCTTGTAGATCTGTTTCAGGTTGTCTATGAACTGGGCAAACTGGATGTGGCCGTCCTGTGCCAGCAGGAAGGTGACCCTTGCTTTGCTCAGGAACTCTATGAACTCTCCGTAGTGCCGTGGACTGATGTGAGTCAGTCGAGAGTGCGTGGTGTTGATGTACGCCGAGATCGTGGCGTCCAAAAGCTGCCGCAACGGCGCCTTGTCCGTGGACATCAGCTTCCCAGAGTTCCGTCTGCCGGGGATGCCGGCAAGACCGGGCGCTGTCATGGTGCACCGTTTGAGGATGTCAGACAGCACGGTAGCGCAGTGCACACTTTTCACCACCAGGGGTATAATGGCTGCCAGCTCGTTTTTACCCAAAGAGTGGCTGAGCGCGCAGGCCCACAGCACGTCGTTTATGGCCGGATGCGTGTCCTGGTTGTACGCCAGGTTTAGGTGTGTCATGGCGAGGGAGGCCAGTTTGAAGGAGCGCAGCGGGTAACCCCGGTGCTCCATGTACCTGGCGATGGTGAAGAGCTGTGAATACGTCATTCCTGTGGACGCCGCGTCGATCACGATCTGGTAGGCTGTCTCGAAGGTAATGTGGTCTTTCTCACAGAGGGTCAGAGCAGACAGAGCGCAGTTCTGAGGGTCCTTCATGGCACACTGAAGGGCCAGGGTCCTCGCGCAGCTCGCCAGCTCTTCACGTTGGGGGTAGTCCAAGCTGAGGCGCAGGATGGTGTTGTGGGACATGACGGTGGCCGCAACGATGCTTGTGGCCTCGGTCGGCGTGAAGAGAGTGTACCAGCTCTGCAAGATGCTCACCAGCGCTCGAAGACCTGAGGAAGACAAAGACATGAGAGTCACACTGTCCGTCCGTCTGTCACACAGAGATGGGACTGTTTACCCTCTGAGCTACACGTCCGTCTCTGTTACCTCTGTTAGCATTCCAAACATTTCCTAATTAAGAATTCAAACACATACCGACTTCAGTGGCACAGGTCACCAGCCAGCGGACCATTTCCCTCCGTCTCCAGTTGAGTGTGGACAGAGTCATCCTCATCACCTGGAGAAACATGCAGAAAAAGTTGCTTCACTTTCTATATGTCACCAAAAACACGGTGACAAACATCATGGCGTGAATCTACTCCATGTGGACTCCATCTGTCTGTGGACCAGTACCTGCAGGCCCAGTTCTAGTGCCACGTTGAGCAGAGTCATGTCAGGCTGGCTGTCTGCAGGTGTGGCTATCTTGAAGGCGTCCTGGGCCAGTTTGAAAATTAAAGAAGAAGAGTGGATGTTCTTTTGGATGGCTTCTAGAACAGTCCTCAACCTCAGCATGTCACCTGACATCACAGGAGGAAAAAATCATGTAAACGAACAAATACTTTCATAATGTTTTAGGAAAAGAAACGCTGTGAATGAAGCCTCCAGACAGGAAGTGCTGCAGTTACCTTTAGCAGCAGTTAGCATGGTGGAGGCTAGCTCACACTGCTGTGACTCCAGGTGCCCCAGTGTGAACCAACGTGGGTATCTACTTGGTACGATGGAGATACTGTGGTGAGGGTGGCCCACGTCGGCCGAGCCCGCCGACGACTCCAACACCGGTAACCTGTAACCACGACAACACAACAGTGAGCAGCTTTCAGGAGACTGACTGTGAGGTCACTGAAAGAACTTTATAGAAGGTTAGAGTAGGAAAAGTAAAATACTGTGGTAGGTTAGAGGTACTTTATAGAAGGTTAGAGTATGAAAAGTAAAATACTGTGGTAGGTTAGAGTAGAATAGTACAGCACTAAGTATACCAAAGAACATGTGCACGTAGTACACAGTAAAACTCCAGAATATTCAGTAGTACTTCTGATACTCTTTACACCTGGATAAGTCCTGGTCACTGACCTCATTGCACGCAGGGCCACTTTGTAGGCCAGGTCTGCATCGTGGGGCAGCAGGGCAGAGAAGAGGTACTTGGCAAAAATGTGCATGGGAACGCTCTCCCTGTGGATGACCTCACCCAGGCCACTAAATGGACCAGCTGCAGCAGCAAGAGACAAAAAAAAAATAGGTGAAGAACCATTTTTGGAATTTAAAAAACGGAGGCCACGACAGGGAAATATTTGGTGGTGCAGTCAGGTGTGGTCATACCATCCAGCAGCTGTATGGCCTGTTTCCTAAGAGTATGAACAAGGAGGTCGTCCAGTTCCAGCTCCTGGAGTTTGGCAACTATCTGCTCCTCGTTGCGACACACCTGCAACACAGACACACCACACAGACTTTAAGCAGAGGCCATGCAGCAGCTCGGATCTTTTTTTTTTAATTTTGTGTTGGTGAGAAAAGTAATTACACATTTCACAGAATTGCACAGAGAACATTGACACAGCCTTGTTCCATGTTGGGGATGACAAGGAACCAGTGAAAAATACCAGGTGACAGTGTCATATAGTACCTTGTCCTGGGCATAAAGACCCTCTGGCATTATCCTCTGCTGGCCCATTCCCATCAGAGCCACCTCCAAGGCTAGGGTCAGGTAGGACTCCCCGCTGTCAGGACTTCCCCACACTGGGACGTGCTGGTACACCGGAGGTCTGGACTCTCCCTCTGTAGCCACAAAGAAAGAAAAAAAAATTAGAACCTTTATTATTGCACATGAAGTTAAATTTATATTTTGGTGTATTAAATCAGAGAAACCTGTGGGGATGTTTTTTTAAATATATATATATTAAGTGCATATGTGTTCAAACTAGGGTTTAGGGTGAGTTTTAGGGTTGTCCATTTTGACGATGAAAAGGGAAAAAGAATGAATCATGACTGTGACAGGTATACATTGACATATAGCCATGCAACGCCCCCTTTTGACAGATGTTCTATGGCTGGCTTTTAGAAAATCAAGTGTGCGCGCACACACACACACACACACACACACAAACAATAATCATTCCAATCTCCTCAAACTCTCAAAACAACAAAAGATAATCACTCACTCTGTCTTTATGGCCCAAACACACAACCACGAGTGTGCCAGGAGACAATGCACTGCTTGAACGGACAATGATTCCCTGTAGCCTGGTAACAATGGGCAAACTCAGCCCCTATTCTGCTTTGTTACAATGACCACTGCTGCAAAAAGGCCCAGGGCAGGGTGGGAAATGCAAATGCTGATGGATTCTATACATGCGCACACACACTCACAAACACACACTTGTACACACAATGGGTGTGTTCCAAATGAGGAAGGTGTCTCAATACCACTCATTCATGCTCTGCTGCTTCATGGTTCCGTGCACCAAAATGGCCCCTGGTCCATACATATACTGTATATATATATATATATATCTATATATATCTATTATATATATATATATATAGAATATTAATATATATATATACATATATGTGTGTATATATATATATATATATAGGAGCGTTGACATAAAGGGACAACGATTGCCTCGAGCTGACACTGACCTCGGCCCAGGTCCAGCCTCAGCTGGTGACGTGGGGCAGGTTGAATGAGGACAGTTTGGGGAATGGTTGGGTTTGCATCATGCAAATGATCTTCAATGATGAGCGGTTGAATACTTAGCAGTGGTCACATGACTCATTTGAATGTTAAAGGGATAGTTCAGGTTTCCTGAGGTAAAGCGGTAAAATCTCTGCAGCTCTGTGTCGAGGCATGAACATTATATGTACTCTATATATGTATATATATATGTGTGTGTATATACTGTATATACAGAAGGCATTGAACCTGGTGGGTTAATACCTCTTGTGTTCATACTGATGTCTTCATCGATGCGGCAGGTCTCAGTGAGTGTGATGAACAGGCAGCCAATTGGATCTAAGGGGTGGCCAACCCAACCTTCAAGGTTGGTGGTGGATGTCACTCCCCTCTGGAGAAGCTCTGAAAGACAAAGTGAGTGGGGAAAAAAAGTAAGAAAACATTTTGAAACAAGTGGTCACAGTACCATCAACTATCCCCAGACCATTTGTGTGTGTGCGTCAACTATCCCCAGACCTTTTGTGTGTGTGCGTGCGTGTGTGTGTGTGTGTGTGAGCGTGTCGTTCACCTTTCTTCTGGTGTTTGTAGATGTCCATCTGTCTCTGCTGTTGTAGGCGCAGCGTGTTGATGATGGCCACCGCCAAGCGCAGGGCTTCCCTGGAGTAACCGTGGGAACGCAAGGCATCCACACGGGCACATGCTGTAGGAACATGGTCTGCAGAGAGCAAGGGTGGAGGTCAAAGGTCTGCTGGGTCTTTCATTCGCATTTTACAAATGTTGAGTGTTGAAAACCTAAAGTTTGGCTTGTACTGTGTTTGTGTTTGTAGTCTTTATTTTAAAGTAAAATTTGACTAAAGAAATTGTAACTCGTCAACTTTCAAAAGAGTCACATGACTCTTGTTTTAAGTGAGGTGTGATTAATGATTTTACCAAGCCAGAGAGGCAGACCCTGAGGGTTGAAGAGCAGATTCTCTCCCTCCCTCTGATAGGCTGGAGACATGTAGTAGTCACTACTGATGATTCTCTGGAGGTGGCTGTCCTGCCAGTGGAGGTCACAGGCCTCCACGGCCCGGCTGAACACCGTCCTTCTGGGCCTGGACAAAGAGTCTTAAAAAAAAAAAAAAAAAATCAAATGACCATAAAAAGTGTTACCATTTTATCTTGGTTCACCATCATTACACTCTCAGAGTATTCAGTTGTTGAGTTCTGCTCCTACCTTGTGCCAGGTTGCTCTGAGGCAGAGCGTTAGTGATGTTGGGAAGCTCACTGCCGTAGTTACCGTCCTCCAGGGGACAGACGTCCATGTCCCCCCACTTTTTCAGCTGCTTTAGCCAACAGCTTTTCTCCTCACTTTTGCAGTGAGGGTTCAGCACTACACACACCCACAATGCACCTGAAGAAATGTAAAAAGTCAGAGTTGAGCACAAAGGCTTTCTGTACATCAACACATTTAAATGAAACAGAAACTGAGAAGAGTTCATGTTAAACATCCGTGACCTTCATCGCCCTAACTTAACTCGTCTATCAGACACTTCGTCTGCACTAAAGAACAAACAAAGACAACCGTCCTTGTCTGTTTGGTTTTTTTTTCTGCCTGAGCTTGAGATCTGCTGACTCAGAACCTATTGACCTCTGAAATACAAGGATTGATTGCAAAGCTGAGCAGCCAGATTAAACCTTTATCATTGAGTCAGTGCAGGGAGTGAGAGCAAAGAGCAGAGTCTGAAAAATATGAGAAAAGCTATTGGGTTAGCATTTAGCTCCAAGGGTTATTCAATAGCTGACAGAGTTGACGTGTGTCTTTGGGCCTGACGACCAGGTGGTCCACGTCAGCAAATATTCTTTTAGAGCAAATAGAGCTTTCTTACCCAGCTCATCCCAGAGCTGCCGACACTTGTCAGTCATGCCTGTGCCCTGTTGTCTCCACAGCGAGAGTCGCGGGTCGGCCATGAACTGCTCTGTTATGAGGGTCAGCATTCGTGCACCGTTGGAGTCTCGCATTCTTAGCATTTCCCGCACCTGGAAATATCAACACCAGAGAAAAGAGTGTCACTGAATGTAGCCGGTCTGTGGGTTCTTGGTCCAGCACTTTTCTAGTCCTGAGGTCCCGTCGTGGTGTTTTGCACCAGTTTTGGCCATTGACCTTCTCATTTATTTATTTGTTATTTATCTGACCCTGCTCTTGGAAGACAACTGCACTACCTACTGGGCTTTTTTCTCTGCAACAGGCAGTTCTTTTTAAATGCCCCAGAAACTATTTTTTGCAGATAACTGTTATCAATACTTATACTTATTATGTGATCCAAAAACAAAATATTTTTTTGAAATACGTTATCATGTGATAGTATTATTTTACACTGGCAGGTGTCCCTTTTAAAAACCTATTTTTTAAATGACATACTTTCTGTCATTATACACATTGGTAGGTACATTATACTACCACTAATACTTCTGCGTACCTTTGCAAACATGGAGTTGAGCTGCTTCCCCGAGCCGTAGTATCCTCCCTGGGACAGGAACTCTTTGACCTGTTCTCTGACCTGATCCTCATCCAGATGCCAACAGTTGTCATCATCAATACTGGCACCAGCGGTGGGGTCTGGTGCACCTGGACACACAAATGTACAGTTAGGACTTATCCATGAGGTTGCTCTGATGACACACTCTCCTTTAAAAACACCAATTCACACTTCTCTCTCTGCAGGTTTGAAGGTAAACACGTTGGCACAGTTGTTGAGTTCTCACCGTGGACCTGGTTGATCTCAGAGTTGGAGGACAGGATCTCATCCGCCAGTTTCTGGGCAGTGGGCAGCACCTCAGTGTGGTGGGCTGTTATCAAATACTGGACCAGCTTCTGCAGCTGGTCTCTGTTCATCTGGAACAACGTCTCTGAGATGGGCAGCCGCAGCTTCACCTGCAGCAACACAGGAACAGAAACATGTTTCTGATTTGTCCACAACGTATTCTTTACTCTGCCTTTTCCTTCACTTTGCCCTTGTTGTCTTAGCTTCAACTATTTAGATATTATTGAAAGATTCTGCCCCCTAGTGTGAGGTCAGAGAGGATTCTCTCTGCCTGCTGTCTTTGTAAATAAAGAGTTCCACGAATGGGTTAAAACCAGAGGACAGATTTCATTGTCTGTATAAGTAAAGTGACAATTAATGTAGTTCGTCTTTTAATCGGAGACATCCTAATTACCTGCTCAGGCTTGCGAATCCGGTACAGAGAGAGCGCCACCACGTGTGCACAGTAGAATATATCCCGATTCCCACAACCACAGGTGACGGACGTTATCTTACAGCGATCGAAGCTGATGGCCACCTTGTGTGTGACCGCTGGTTCTGACGACGTCGTGGGTTCCGTGACAGTGCCACTGAGGTGAAACCCTGCAATGAAATTAAGAAAATGTAAAAACTTTACATTCAATGAAAAATGTAAAAAATATAAATGAACATAACTCATATGTGGTTTTGTAGTGGTTTAACTACATCGTGGTGGGAACTAGCAGTTCGTCGCCTATTCAGAACAATAATATTAACTTATGGATAGAAAAACATTGAATAGTTAGACTTAATTATGCATGTGCTTAATGACCATTTGTAATCAATGCTTCATTAGGTCCAGTCCCTTACAGGTTAATGTAGCCAACATTTCCTGCATAATGAATAATCAGCAGGATATATTTTTAACTTGTGTGGGCTGTTGGAACATCAGCACTGACACATTTTCAATGGAATTAATTATTTACACGTTTGTTCATTAAACCTGATGTGACCCACATATTCTTTGACAACAAATGCTGAAAATATGCACGTATATTTAATTATATAAATATATATATATATATATATATATATACACATAGATGTACATATATATAAATATTTATATATGTGTGAGTACATATAGATTGCATAGACAGATCGATACACAGTATATATGTTCACATATATATACACACACCAGATGCTCATTATTATGTATAGACACAAATGAACACTCCACCCTACCTCCCACCCTCCTTGGGTGTACGCCATCTGCCGCTAAACACAAACCCCGCCTACACAGATGCAATGCCTACCAGATGTCAGCCAATCAGGAGAAGGAGCGCTCTTCATGCTCATAGGCCATTAACCCTCTAATCAACTGGGGAGATAAGCTGGCACCTGAGCCAATGTGTGCGAGAACATGCAAACAGAATAGGTTCCTATTCAACCCCTGCCTCAGCAGCAGCCCTGCAAACAGACACCCCGACTCCACCCACTCATCAGATTCCAATTTGAAATTCAGGGACATTTTTTTGACTCCCATTAATTTTACATTTCCTACTGTTTAAATTTTACCAACACCCACGCTGTCAAAATGTACATTTTAATTCTCGCCCACGCAGGAACCGCGCACTTGTCACATTAGTCTGTGGAGGTAAATTAAGACATGTCAGGATATTCCCTCAGGAAGTCACACTGTTGACCTTTGATTTTCCTGACATGACATTCATCTGGGATTTAAAAACGGCAGACTATGAAAAGATGTATATGACACACGGGCATGTGGACGTAACCAGCCAAATGATTTGATTCTCAGCAGTTTCCGAATTAAGGATGCTCTATCGGTGACAAACAATATCAGAGAAGAAAACATTTTTTCCCATGTTATGGCACAAACAAAGAGATGGAACTGTAGCCAAGCTTTCAGTTAGTTAGCACCTGCTTCGGCTTTATATAAACGGTTGTACTGAACTGTAGTAAAATACCGTTTCTCAGGAGGAGCTTTTTAAACTCTGATTTTACATTTAATCAAAATCACCATCTAAACCACCTCCTTCCTCCAGCCATATCTTCTCTGAATATTCTCTATTTGAAAATAAAAAATTGTATTTCTTTGAATCACATATTAAAAGATGCTCCTACTTTAACTCAATGCAAATGAAGGCACTTCAGTCGAGTACTCGTCTATTATTATACAACAGAACCCAGATAAACACACTATCTCAGGGTCAACCAGTCTGGCTCCTCCTCCTCAGTCAACTACTTACTGACAGACGACGTCGACCACAGCACAAGGATTTTTTTTTTCCCTCTCACTTGTCTTTAGAAGCAAAAGTCTCCACTTCAGCATCCATTTTTTTCCTCCCAGCCTGTGGCCCTCCCCACCCTGCTCTGACAGCCCCAAGGTTAACACACAACCCCCTGTTCAGTGCACACACACACACACACACACACACCTAAATCATCTTCTAGTCTCTGCTGGTCTATCCTCACCCATCTCTCTCTCTCTCTCTCTCTCCCTCCTACAGTGTCAACTGATGCATTAACAGTTGATTAATTCATTTGTTATATTCATCATCATCATCTATGCCCCCCTCACACACACACACACACACACACACATTTTTTTGTGAACTGCAGACTCATTTGTCTTGATTACACTGATTTGACTCCTTAATTTGCTCCATTCTTCTGTGACAGAGGGAGAGAGAGGCTGAAAGGACAGTGGAGGAAAATACAAAATGAACACGCTCCAGTGACAGGGGAGTAGACACAACAAAAAAGACCAAAGCCAATAGTGCATGGGGCACAAGTGGGGGAAGAAAATCTGACAAGGGCAAATTCCTGATGTTCAAAAGGATTTTTTAAAAAAAATGAAAAAGAAAAAACAGGGAAGTGGGGGTGGAGCTTGGTGTGAAGCTGATTATGGTCAAAGGAAGTTCTGCAGAGAACTCAGAGATTAGAAGACAAAAGAAAGTAACTCAAACAGGGAACTACAAATACAATGCTTATTAATGCCTCTTTGTAACACACACACACCTTCACACCCACACACACACACACACCTTTTAATAAAAGCTGTAAATGAGTGAATAGAGGGAGTTATGGCTAACTGTGTTCCTCAGTAACAGCTGCACGCCATTGGTCGGAACTAAAAGCAACACATCTGCGGTCCAGGCCAAAGTGTTCCTCTTTAAGTCTGACATACTTGTGCTGTTACTTAAGAGCCACTCAGTGCATTCATGCCATTGTGAGTGTGTGCAGCACTACAGTGAAGGTTACCTGAACACAACACTGCTTCCAGCTAGGCAAAAAATAATAATCCTAATAAATAAATAAAGAATTCA